CTTTACTGACATCTGCACTGGACTCGCACAGTATTAAAACAACTGTTCTGACTTTTTTTTACTTTCATTTTCTGTCTGCTTTCCTCTTTTTTTCTTTTTCTTTAGGCACTTTTGCTCTTCCTGATTCGAACTCTTTTAACCCTCTGAACACCAAACCTGCCAAAAGGTTTGAGATTGCACGCTATCTTTAAAAAAAATCATCAAAATGACCCCATTTGTCAGAGCGAGAAGGAACAGAACGAATCGGTGGATTTTCACGTTAGCGACAGCTCTTATCTAATCTTAACTAATCATCTGGGACATGGTGTTTTGTCGGTAAACGGTACCATATCGAAGCTTAAAATCGTCATATTTCATCAAAATTATTTTATCCTACGTGTATCATTTGGTCGCCCTGAGTCAGCTGGGATAGACTCCAGCCCCCCGTGACCCTAGTGAGGATTAAGGTGTATAGATAATGGATAGATGGATGGATGGATGGATGTCTCATTGAAATATTAGTTAAAAATAAAGCATTCACTTTAATCAGATTCTGTAAAAAACTAAAAATTCTGCACTACTTAGAGCAACAGGAAAGTCAGGTGTGAATGAGCTGCCATCAACAGTCTTATAACAAAAATTCAGGGACTTTCAGCTGAACTGGTGGCAGTGTTTATATTGAGCAGGTAGGACACAAGTATGGAAACAGAATAAAAATGTAAGTAGTAAAATATCACATAGAGTCACCATTTTTCCAGATTTTTTTCCCCCAGTATTGATAAAATGTTGTACCTGTTGATTCAGTTTTTCTAAATTCTTTCTGAAATAAATAATCAAAGAATTTATTTATTTATTTTTTTGGCCTTTTTGACAGGACAGTAGAGAGAGAGACAGGAAAGTAAGGAAAAGAATGGGGGAGGGACCTGCAGCAAATAGGCTGGATTCAAACCCACGACCGCTGCGTCGGGGACTAAAGCCCCAGTATATGGATCACCAGCTCAACCAGTTGAGCTAAAGCGGTGGCCCAAGAAATCAATCTTTAGTTTCTTTTTCTTTGTATATGTTTTATGGCAGGGGCTGCAAGGTGGATCAGTGGTTAGCATCGTTGCCTCGCAGCTAGAAGGTCGCTGGTTCACGTCCCGGTGAGGACACCCGGGATCTTTCTGCGTGGAGTTTGCATGTTCTCCCCGTGCAGTGTGGGTTCTCGCCAGGTTCTTCCTCGCCAGGTTCTTCCTCCCCCCCCTCTGCCTTCACCCTGAGTCAGCTGGGATAGGATGGATGGATGGATGGATGGATGGATGTTTTATGGCATTCTAACTGTGTCATCCTGCACTGAGATCATTTCTGAGTTCTGTCTCCTTCTAGTCATTCTTGTGCTGTTTCCATAGAGTTTATACTGCAGTGAAAAATGAGCGCTCAGTAACTAAAGATCTGACAGCAGCAGGAAACACCTACAAACTGTTTTGGGTCAGAGGGTTAAAAGAAGCTGTAAAAAAAAAACAAAAAAAAAAAAACAAGGATGTTGATGCTTCTAATACTCAAAGAAAACACCAGAATCAACATAAAACTGATCTTACCAGCGAGCACTCTTTGCATGTCCCCACTCTGATATACTTTAGCTTACTTCACTCCTTTGTTGTGCAAAAACTATCAAAAACACACGAGTCAGTGAAACCGACACACACCTTCCTGTTGCTGCAAACACAAGAGCAATCGTTGGCGACCCAGCAGATAAATGTGAGTGGCCAATAAATCACGAGCAGGTCAGAGAAGAAGGAGAACAACTGCGGCACAAAATAGCATATTTTCAGGCTACTGCTTCTCTAATCTTTGGCACTTTTTCCTGGATAAACGCACCTCCCCGGGCCTCCAAAATTACTCAAGTTAAAGCGTGTGAGAGGAAAAAATCACTCGTTGGGTTTTTTTTTGGTTCACTGCTCCTGAACAGGCAACACGTAATGAGGGGTTGTAAAGAGGAACTGCTTCTGTTCAAGAGGTCACACTTGAAAAAGTCTGAAAACTGCTGCAGCCAACATGGATTCATCCACAGTTTGAAAAAAAAAATAGAGATAAAAATACACTTTTTCTTCCTGTTTGAGCAATAAACCACAGTCAGCTGTTTTAATAAAATAATACACCTTCTAAAATATACATCTGCATATGGAGTTAGTTTTGTAAAAGGTTTCTGTCTTTACCAGCTTGCAGATAAACTGGACAGGGAAGGAACAGAAAGAAAGACTAACACGCTGTGATTTTGGTCTTTTGATGGGATTTGCGGACACTTAAGACACATATTTGACGCCAGAATTTTCTGTAAAAGCGACAAAGGAAATTTTGTTTTTGAGTGATAAGATCTGGAGCACTCTGTTTGAAAAGGGTTTTGTTTTATTAAAAAATTACAATTATGCCATTTATCAGAGCGAGAAACTGGTAAAGGAGAAAGAATCATCAGATTTTGAATCGTGTGACCGTCCTTTAAATAAATATACGGTTCTGTTTGTAGCTGATCGTTGTGATATTTCATTAAAATCACCTTATTCTACAAAATAAAAGCACTTGCAATGACCAGATTCTGCGAAAAAAAAAGAAATCTGTGCTTCTTGGTGCAACTGGGAAGCCATTAGTGACTCACAAACAGTCACATGACGTACATTCAGGGCCTTAGGTAACAAAATACCATTAGTACTATGTAGACGTCTGTTTTTCTGTAACAGCTGTGGGCACGTGGAGAAATGTCATACATATGCATTCCTTTGTACTATAAATAATCAAAGAAATTCTCCTTTTCTTTTGAATTGTCTGTGCTTCTAGCTGTAGTTGTGTTGTTTCTATTGAGGTGCAGGTTTTTTTATTGCATCTAAAATGAGCCCACAGTGAGTAAAAATATGACCGGAGCGAAAAACGCCCAGAAACTACTTGTGATTTGGACGCCCAAGTGGATGATTTTAATAAGGTGCAAACATTTTCTGAGGTGAACTATTACAGTCGTGACTCGATAATCCGACACTAAATGTAAAACCTTCTTCTATGTCGGATAGCAAGGCTGTCGGATTGTCAAGATGGAGGTCGAGATACAAGGAGGGCTTGATGCTGGAAGGATCATTTGTTGTTAATATTTATTGTTTACAGTTGTTCTAATAACTAGTAGGGCTGGTCTGAATAGCATTTTCTGGTCTCTGGATATTCAGGACCAATTAATGATGAATATCCGAATATTCGGCGCAGTCGGGGGACACTTCCACCCCGAGGGAGCACTCCGATGGGGTGGAAGTGGCCGGAACGCACAGGCAGTACTTGGCTGCTGATGCTAGTTTAGGATAGCGGTCCCAGTTCTGTTTCCACCATCAGTACCGCCGCCATCATCCGTGCATGTGACGTTGTTGTGTAATCTTCTGCGCATGCGGGACACTTTTGGGTCGTATGAAGTTCACATAGCAGATCACATACAAGTCACATTTAATAGGAAATGTGAACGAACTCGCAAAAAAATCTAACTTCACAAAAAAATCTGAATTGAGCATTAAGTCCTGCAGTGTGAACGTAGCCAATCTGTGGGATTGTTCAGTCAGATAATACGCCGTTATCCTTATTTGTGACATAAAACGTCACGTCGGAGTTGGAATCCAAGGCTGTCGGTATGTTAAGGCTATTTTTAATGGGTTCAGTTCGTTTTTCTTAAAAACCTGTCGGAGAGCAAGGTTTAGGATTGTTAAGGGTCAAATTATCGAGTCACGACTGTATAAATAACAATTTCATATTATTGATGATATGACACAATATTTTTAGACTGAAAAGATGCAGAGGCCTGCAAGGAGCTAACAGCTGTCGGTCGTTAAGTTCAGTTGATCAAAAATTAACACCAAATGAGGGGTTGCTCTCTGTCTCTTCTATACGTTTTTTCATTTCATCTCAGACCAGCTGAGAACGCGACCCGCCCGTCCCCCTTGTGTGCACTTTATTTCCCCCCAGTGGTGTCCCTGCCTTACATAATCGGTCACTTTACTTCCTCTTCAATGTCCAGACACTGTCCAAGTCTCAGGGGGTCACATCTCAACCAGCTCCCTCCTGACAGCCTTTTTTACATGCAAGCGCAAAAGATATCCGTCTCCAGTTCACAACCCCGAGGATCTGTGAGAATCTGGTAGCATTAAATCTCATCTACAGTCTGAACCACTCGCTCCTAAACTGTTCATATTTTTTTATACGGCCAGAAAATCTGTGAGTGATTGGCATTCATGTGCCCACACAGTCTGCACCGTTGCTGCTGTGCTCCCAAATGTTTACTTTTTCTGTGGGGTGTAGTAAGAAAAGCAAATAAACTTCTTCCAGCAAGTGTTTTGCATTCAACACATGGCCCGCCGATCCCCCCGCCGCCAGTTTAATATTCAATCCTGAATCCCATCTCAATCTCACAGAGAATGAATTTCTTCCATTATATTTTTATAAACATTATAAACAATCTTGGAGGTAGTTTGCTTGCGTGCACCTGTCAAATGATCGTTCAATAAATTTGTTACCTTCTGCTGATATGAATGTTTTATTTTCTACGAGCATTAAAATGAGGATATCTGAGCAAATCTGTAAATGAGATCTTTTCACTCATTTTTTAAAAAGTTGTACCCTCAATTAGTGATCATGCAGCTGGAGGTACTGGACATTTGTCAATCAAGAATAAAAACAGAGAAGGATTACAATCTCTTCTGCTCATCTGGTGAGTCAAAAAACTCCTTTTTGCCCAGTTTGCTGTGTCTGGATTTCATCCCCCCCTCCCGCCGCCCTGCAGAACCCTGTGGAGAACTGTGGGACCAGCAGCAGACTAACAAACATCTCAAACATTTTTGTGCTCTTTTTCTCGAGGAGGGAAAACAGGCTGTAACAGCGAGCCTGGAACAGACAGCACGAGTACACAAACAGCAGGAAACACAGGAACAACACACACTCCCACAAAGATGAGTTTGACTCAGATGAAGAACATAAACCGAAGTTTACAAAAAAGAACAAACGGGGCTGTTCACACTCACCGTCTTCCCTGCATTCCTCCGGTGGCTTCGCTTTCTTCGCCAGCCGAGGATCGAGCCACGACGTAGTTTTGGTGTTGTGACTGAGGAAGAGGAAGACGAAGGCGATGAGGAGGAGGAGAGGTGCGAGCAGAGGTCAGGCGGAGACGGACAGAGACGACGGGGAGGAAGAGACGAGGGCAAAGGAACACTAATGATCTGTGTGTGCATGTGTGCAGAGGCAAAGAGAAACCAGGGGATTTCTAAGGTAAACTAAATGGCCATTAATCCGCTAATTAGCCCTCAGCCACTAATTAGTAAAGGTGAGAGCAGAGGGCCAAAGTTAGCGTGTGTGCATGTGTGTTTGTGTGCATCCTGTCTGATTAGCACTACAAAGTTACCACAATGACTCCACACAGAGGGCAGAGCGATGAAGTTTACAGCCAGTGATACACAAAGACAGACTTTAAAGTTGGTGCCCTCTGTGGGGTCCATTACACTGGATTTATTTTAAGTGTTTTGATGTCACATATATCAAAAATAAAACACTTTTGCACTTCTGTAACAACTACAGTGATAAAAGAGGACATTGTTTTAGGAGAGTAAAGTCCTTCAAACGACACTGTGGCAGAAAAAATATGTTAAAAAAACAGCAGAATGCTGACAGGTTTAAAATAACGACATATATTTGTGAAATATTTAGATTTTTAGCTGATTAAAATACAGTTTAAAAATGTAATTGTTGTATTATTGTCCTATTTACTATTTCTTTAATTAATTTATATATATTTTTACTGTTTTTTTTCTGTGATTTTGCTATATAGTCATCTGTAATTTAACAAAACAGGGAAAAACTATCATTTAACAGTAGAAATTATTTAGGATATTACAATATACACTGTTTTTCCTATAAATAACAGCCAAAATGTGTAATTTTATGATTGTTTTGCTGAATAAAATTAAATAAAAACAGTGCAATACAACAGTGAAAAAAAATAATTAAAATTTGTATAAATACAGGTTTTTGATGTCGACAATATTGACAGTTTTGTTTGTTTTTTTTACAGTCAGGATGTACATTTATCATTTTTTCTGTGATTTCACTAACTACTATCTGTCATTTAACAAAACAAGAAAAATCTGTACAATGACAGTAAAATTTATTTACAGTTTTTCTTTTGCAAATGTCTGTGCAATATGTTTTTGTTGTTGATTTTTTTTTTAAATGTAGTTTTTCCATTAAATATAAGAAAGATCTACCATTTGTAAAAAAAAAAAAAATAATAATAAATAAAAAAAAATCCAGGTTTTATTGTGAACAACAACATGTACATTTCTAGTTTTTTGGAAGTGTAGTTGATATTATCTGCAATTTAAAAAACTATTACAATCTGCAAAATAGCACCTTTAAAAATATGCAGTTTTTCTTTTAGTAAAGTTAAATATCCGCAGAATAATGACTTTTTCACTGATTTAAAAACAATAACAAGTGTGTCATTTTGGGTCAAACCTTGAAAAAGAATATTTTTTGTACAAAGACAGATTTTTGATGTGGACATTATTTATAGTTTTGTCTTATTTGAGGGTCAACATGTAAATTAACAGTATTCCCTGTGATCTTATCTGTAATTTCACTAAATGGAGAAAAACTGCTCCAAAACTTTCATTTCCACACTGCAGATGAACTATGAGTGCGAGGTGGGCTCTTACTCTATGAAGTAAACCTCCCCCTTCTCGGTGTACGCCATCTCCCAGTTGTCAGGCAGAGGACCGAGCTCTTCCTCATCTGCGTCTGGGACTTTGGTGGGGGATTTAGAGGGAGATTTCGGGGCCTCCTCTCCTTCGGTTGGGGGCTCGACGGAGGCTGGGGGTTGGCTCGACGCTTCCACAGCAACCTCCCCGGAGGCATCTGTGCTCTTGTCCTCATGTTCACTGGACTCTGTGGACCACACACACACACACACACACACACACAAACACACACAAACACAGTTATTCCCACATACGCTCCGTGCACACATGCAGACCTGAATGCACACTATACACGCCATGCATGATGAGTCAGAGCAGAGCCACTGCAGAGCTATGAACCCCCAGGAGGGAGAGAGAGGGAGATGTGGAGTCTGAGGACAATGAGCATGAGGAGAAAACAACATAGAGATGTCAGAAATTGAGAAACAGAGAAGGACAGAGACTTTAGGGGTCAGAGACTGAGTCAGAAGAACAAGGAAAGGTTTCCAGAGAGAGGAGAAGAGCTGGTGGCATCTAAAGCATGCGGATGAGGAGCACGCGAACGGGGGAGAAATGCCAAAGTGTGTGATTTAATAACATCCCGGCAAGAAAAACAGAGAAATATCGAAAAACAAGGAGACAAAAGTGTCAGACGGAGGTTAAACCATTAGCATATCTGCCAATTACACTGAATTCTGACAGAAGAAAGAAAAGTCAGTTTTCTTTCCGGTCAGTAACTTTGTCCAGACACTTTAAAATCAGACAGAGATTTAAAGTTTTGTTGTGATGTCTGAAGAGAATGTGTAACACTGCAGATTTTTCAGTTCCAGTTTTTTAAGGTAAAACCAAACAAACACACAGAAGCGAGAAAAAAAAAAGTGAGACGCTCAACAGCACCAGGCTACAAAGAGAAGGAAGAGGAGAGGGCAGCAGGGACGGGACCACGGAGATGAAGAAAAAGCAAGAGGTCAGAAGGAAGAGGATGGCAGAGGAGAGGAAGAGAGAGAGAAGAGAGGAGAGTTTGGGGTATTAATAGAAACAAGGACAAAGGCCAGTGGCGGGAAGGCAGCAGGACAGACAGAGAAATGAGAGGACAGAGCGAGAGAGAGGGACAGGAGCTGGAGTCAAAATGAGACCCCGACTGGTGATAATAGTGGAGACATTAAGGTGCCCTTGTGCATCCTGTCACATAAGGTTATTGAGAACCTGTGCAGTTCACACTCACGCAAGCCGAGTCTGAAACAACCGGTCAGGCTACGGTTTGTTGTCGGACTAAAGAACTAAATTAGAAAAGAGATTTTTACCTTCGGGGACAGGTAACAATGACAACTACGCCGTGACAACCGGCTTGTTTCTCCCGCTCGACTCAATCATACCACTAAAACAGCGATAAATAAGCCGGGGGGGACAACTCAAGCTTTCAAACCAGATTTACTCTTCGCCCAAATGTGACGTTATAAACTGTCTTCTTGGTCGCGGCGCTTATGAAACACACCGAATCTAATTTCGGTCACAAGCTGATGATAAATGAGGCGAAAAAACGGGAACTTTCATGCTGTCATCCTACCGTACCTGGTGTGATGGCCACCCCGTTGCCATTGACAACCGGGCTCTCCTCTTCCTCCTCCTCAGGCGGCTCCAGGCTGGCGCGCTGCTCCATGTTGCTGACTGACTGGTTCCTCTTTCTCTTGCCCTGGGCGCTTGGCCGGGCTCCGGGCAGCAGGGCCTCACTCACATTCAGAGGAGGTGCTGCCGGGGACGGCTCCGCTGGAGGTTTCGGCGTGCCGTAGAAGTTATCTGAGGGCAGAGAGGCACGGCGGCGGTTGTGTTAGAGGCCACATGTACGACTAGAGGGGGGATCTCAGGTGATGCACCACACGCACCGTCTGGCAGGCGGAGCGGAGGTCGGCTGCTCGTGGGCAGCTGTGGCTTTGAACAGATGATTGCCTTTCAAAATGCAAGACTGAGCCGTCTGAGCAGAGCAACGATGCCTCAGACTGTACGTGTGCCTGGTAACTAATCATTTCTAATAAGGCCAATTTATTTGGTGCATCTACCTGCTGGCTTTAGACTTTAGAGGCCTCCTTACAGATGTGTCTTGACTGAATCTAAATCTAGACTTTTATTGAACACTTGACCCTGTGATCCCCAAAACCAGCCAACAGGCTTAAAAGGCGTGTTATCGTTTTAAAAAATCACAAAAATTACATAATTTATCACATCAGATTATCGACTTTCAGACGATCCGTCCGTGATGAGCAGCTCCATCTGGAAAACGAACCAAATCTAAGCCTGAAACTGTGATATTTCATCATTTCTCATTTAAAAATGTACAAAAATAAACTGCCTACTCCAACCGTATTCTGTGAAAAAGAAAAAAATTCTGTAATTGTTGTTGCAACTGAGAAGCCATTAATGACTCAGCTGTGACCAACAGTCACGTTGTAAAAAATCTGAGGACTTTTCAGCTGAACTGAGCTGAACTGCAGGCTTTGTTTACAGACCAGCCAGGAGATGAAGTATGGAAACTAATTAAAAATATAAGTAGAAAAACATCTATTGTATGTAAAGTCACCATTTTATCTCCAGTAATAGAAACACTCATAGGGGAAAAAAATTGCAAATGTTGATCCCAGGCTTTTTAATTTTGTACAATAAATTATTAATGAAATTCCATTTTCTTCTATTTTTAAGATTGATGACATTGTATGGCTGCGTCACAGTGCGCAGAAGACCTGCTGTGTCTCTCTACTTCTATCCATGGCTGTGCTGTTATATGCTATAGAGGTGCAGGACTTTATATTGCAGTGAAAAATGAGTCACCAGCGAGTAAAATGAAAAACACACAGAAACTTTTCCATTCGACCAAAACAGTAGCTCCCCCCCAAAAAATGAGGTCAGCTCCAGAACCAGCTGGTTTCTTATGAATGTTCTTTTACATTCAGTCAGCTTTGAGTTTTGTTTTAATGGACAAATCCACATTTAGGTAAAGTAAAGCCTGCTTTCATA